CGGAAGTGTGCATTTGTTCTCGCTGGGGACCATCGAGGCGCATCGTGGACCTTCGGGCCGAACAGAACACGCGCGAAAACGAAACATGCACGAGGAATGGACGTCCGAGCGATGGCAAGGCAGGGGGGGCGGAGGAGGAGGCGGAGGCCAAGGGGGAGGAGAAGACGAAGGGAGGAGGGGAGGAGAGAAGACGGAGGAGGAGGAGGCGGAGGTGGAGGGGTAGGGGGAGGCGGAGGTGGAGGAGGAGGAGAAGGATGAGGAGGGGGAGGCGGAGGAGGACGAGGATGCCGAGATGGAGGGGGAGGAGGCGGAGGAGACGGCGGAGAAGGGGGAGGAGGAGGGGGAGGAGTAGGGGGAGGCGGAGGAGGAGGAGGAGGAGGAGGAGGAGGAGGAGGAGGAGGAGGAGGAGGAGGAGGAGGAGGAGGAGGAGGGAGGAGGAGCAGGAGGAGGAGGCGGAGGCGGCGGCGGCGGCGGCGGCGGCGGCGGCGGCGGCGGCGGCGGCGGCGGGCAGGGGAGTCGGAGCAGGGGGCAGGCAGGCGCAGGGCGGACCTCCTGTGGGGCGGACGCTTTGTCCGCCCCCTCGCGGCCACGGGGGCGGAGAGGCCCCGGTTGGCCAGCGAGACGCGCACTGCGCCGCGGCCTGGCCGTGGCCGGGTGGGCAGTACACCTTAGGCGATGCTTAAGAAAACTTAAGTTTTCGGCCAGCGTCTCGATTATTCTTAACGTTTCAATGTAAATCCTAAGATTTGAATGGAAATGTTGGGCTTTTATTCAAGTTCTGAGACCATGAATTTCTTAACCCATGATTTCTTAAGCATTTCGCAGGGTGTACAACTTCGGATGCAGCTGCTGGGAGGTCAAAAATTCGGACTTTGCGCTGGTCCGAGGTCCGGCTTGCTCCGGTTCAATCCCTCGTAATCCACGGCCTGATCCGGCGTAGCAGCCCCACAAGGGGGCTCAATCCGCCAGAATGTTTCCAACGAAGACCTCTTTGTAGTTGTCTCCTAATGCACAGCGAGCGCATGCGGTCGGACCGAGGCACAACATCGAGGTCGGTTCGGGCAGGGTCCCTTGATGTTCTTCGTGTCTGCTGGGCGCTCTTGTGCATCCCTGGGGGGGTACCCTTGCATGATCTGTGCGTGTTTTGGCCGACGGAGGGTCGCATGTTCTTGGGGCGCTCGTCTGGCATAGGTCCGACTGTACGTGGATTACGGTTAACCCGCATAGAAAGGTTCATTTGCGACGGTTCCGTTTCCCATGCCGAATTTGCGCGCTCCGTCGCCCAATTGGGCGGCACCGGTGCCACGTCTCGAGGGGTGGGCCCTCCCCGACCCGTGGATTTGGCGCCCACGCTCAACTGCCCCTGATGGCGGCGAGCCCAGGGGGTCGGCAGCACGTCATGGGGACCACGCATGTCCTCGTAATTCCGCTTTTAGAGCGCACTGGTGTGGCGCTAGCGTCTGGCAGTTGAGGAGTGCGCGCTGATTCAGCGTCGGTTGGCGACGTTTTGGCGTAGCTTAGCGTCGGCCAGCGTCGATTCGCAAGATCTAGCAAGATGGCATGGGAGGCGCCCGTGAGTTGCCACAGAACGGGGGAAATGTGAGAGGAGCTGGCCGCCTCAGAAGGCGGCGGGACTTCTCAGAAGCCTTCGCGCTTGCCAAGAGGTCTTCTGCACCATCTTCGAAGACTGGTGAAGGAGAAGGCAGAGGAGGAGGAGGAGGAGGAGGAGGAGGGACGAGGAGGAGGAGGAGGAGGAGGAGGAGGAGGAGGGGAGAGAGAGGAGGAGGAGGAGGAGGAGAGGAGGAGGGGAGGAGAACCAGGAGGAGGAGGAGGGAGGAGGAGAAGAGGAGAGGAGGAGAAGGGTCGAGTTAGGAGGAAGGAGGAGGAGGAGGAGGAGGAGGAGGAGGAGGAGGAGGAGGAGGGAAGAGGAGGAAGAGGAGGGTCGGTTGGCGGCGAGCCCAGGGGGAACTGTGAGAGGGGCTGGCCGTCTCAGAAGGCGGCGGGACTTCTCGGAAGCTTCCGCGCCTGCCAAGAAGTCTTTTGCACCGTCTCCGAAGACGCAGCATACGTCTGGAAGGCGCGAGGGCTCCTGAGGGGCCTCGCCGCATGCTGAGAAGGCTTGCCCCCTTCTCACTTCTCCACTGGGCTCGCTGCCGACCGAGCCTCCTCCTCCTCCTCCTCCTCCTCCTCCTCCTCCCTCCTCCTCCTCCTCCTCCAGCCATGTAGGGAGGCGCCCACTCCCCCCTTCCATCCTTCATCATGTCAGCGCTTCTCCTCACACTCCTTCTTCATGCTCCCTTCATGCACTCATACTCCCTCCTCCCTCCTTCTTCCCCCTCCTTCTTCCCCGTCATCTCCGTTCCCCCGTCCTTCCCCTCCTCCGCTGCTTCTTTCCAGGCTCTGCCTTCTCGTCCTCTTCCTCCCCCTCCTCTCCCTCCCACTCGCCCCCCTTCTTCCCTTCTCTGTTCTTCCTCAGGCTGACTCCCATCCCCCGCAGGCATCTGGACTCGCCGGCTTGACCCTGGTCGGTCCCCCTATTCCCCGTGCCCCGCGATGCTGGTGGCCAGGAGGAAGGAGAGGGAGGGCGAGGGTCAGGAAGATTGCGTGGAGTCGAACTTGGAGCCGGTTGGAGCAGACACGGGGAAGAAATGGCCCCCCTCGTCGCAACGGCTGAACGCGGCTCAAAACATTTGTCAGTTTCGACCCAGGTAAGGGTCGGGGGGCAGATTTTGAGAGAACTTGCTTCCCGCCCTCTTTGATCGATTGTCTCACCTCGCATCCAGCGCAGACCCCATCGGTCGCCACCAAGATGGCGACGAGGAAGAGGGGGATGATGCCGATCACGATAGAGAACTTCGACAGGGTATTCGAATACACATGTGAAAAGCAGACCTTTCGGAGTTCCGCGTGGATCTTGGTGGATCAATGTTGGGACCCCCTGGCGGCTCCTCTGGCGCTGCCCCTCCTGGTGCTCTCCGCGCGCCAGGCACGGGGGTCCAGCGCAGATCGAAGAACTTCGCGCGGACCTCTGACAGTTTATGTTCATGCAGTTCTGCTTCCGCTCGAAGAGGGGGATGATGCCGATGATGATAGAGGGCTCGGACGGGTAAAGGAGGACTCAACAAAAGGAGGATGTGCAGCAGGACGGGGAGGAGGAGGGGGAGCACAAGGAGGATGCCGATGAGGAAGAGGAGGTGGATGAGGAGAGTGCGATGCGGAAGGAAATGGAGGAGGACGATGAGAATGAGGAACCCGCAGGAGGAGCAGGCAGGAGGAGACGGAGGACGCTCAGCACGACGAGAAGGAGGCCCAGGAGGAGTAAGAAGGCTTAAGGGGAGGACGGAGGGAGGAGGCTCCGCTGGCGGCTCTGCTGATGCGTCCCCTCGGCCCGCCGTCGTTGGTGCCTCGAGGGTTCCATCTGCAGCAGCAAGAAGGAAGAGGAGGAGGGGGAGGAGGAGGAGGAGGAGGAGGGAGGAGGAGGAGGAGGAGGAGGGAGGAGGGAGGAGGGAGGAGGGAGGGGGAGGAGGGAGGGCGGACGAGAGGGCGAGGGGGAGGCGGGACGCCGTCATGCCAACACTGTGCTTGCAAGCTGGGCCACGTGATCGCTCGGGCCGGTGTTGAAGCGCTGCTCCTGGTGTCGCACGGGGCAGGGCACGTCATAGCCGTCGGCTGGTGTCCTCTGCCTGCTGTCACGTCGATCCACAGGAGGTTTACATCTTCGTTTTGGGGATCCTCGTTGGGGCCACACGACGGATCTGAGTGGCTCCAGTTCGAACGGAGTTCGAGTCAGTTTCGACTCAAGTTCGACGTTAGTTCGACTTGGGTTGACTGACGTGTGACGCAGCACTGACGCACGAGTGGAAGGAGTGGTTCCACGAAGGTCCCCAGAAGGAGCATCGAAGGAGGAGGAAGCGGGATGGACCCGGACTGTCCTGTACGTTCCGGATTTCGAAGTGAATTTCGTGCGGATTTCTTGGGCCAGGAATGAAGACTATTCAACATCCAGGTGAAATTCATTTCGTTTTCCGCTCGCCGTTTCGGGGTATTGCATTGACAGAGATTCACGCACAAATTCGTTGCAGCACGTCTGCAAGGCTGGTACAGTGCGTGCCAATCACGGATAGGCGCGGGGGGGGGGGAGGGACAAGGGCGGCTACAACAATTCCTACGCGCAGCCGGTTTCGGTTTCGCCACCGCGCACTCTCCTGGACACGAGGCCGCCTGCGGCGTGCGCTGATCTGTTACCCCCCTGCGCTGCAGCCTGCACGAAGGTTAAGAACAACCACAGTTCGGGGCAGGGGTGCCCTCCTGTGCTTCGCCGTCGGACTCTCCACCTTGGAACGCTCTCCGTTTTGCTTGTTCCTCCATGGGGCCTTGGGCTCTGTCGACTGCAGCGTGCCGCTCCGCAGCGTTCTTGCCCAGAGCGCTGCGGCGCGACACGTGGTTCGATGCCAAATCTCGGGGGTGGACAGAACCCCCAACAGTGACACGTCGATTAGTGAATTGTCCGTTTTCGGTTCTCGAGAGGGCGCCGTGGCCGTTATTTTCCAGGCTTGCGCCCGCCGGGTTTGGGCCCGAGGTCGTTTTCACTAAACCACGTTTTACTAAGGGGGTTCTGTCCATCCCCGACCAGAGCGCTGCGGCGCGACACGTGGTTCGATGCCAAATCCCCCCTGGGCTTCAACGATCCCGGGCCTGTCCGAGCCTCCCGCCCTGCGGAGCGGAGCGGCACGCTGTCTCTATTGCAGGGCACATCGTGTCGCTGGGACCGCCGGGGCGACACGCTCCTCCTCCTCCTCCTCCTCCGCCTCCTCCTCCTCCTCCTCCTCCTTCTCCTCCTCCTCCTCCTCCTCCTCCTCCTCCTCCTCCTTTCCTCCTCCTCCTCCTCCTCCTCCCCCTCCTCCCCCTCCTCCTCCTCAGGAAGAGTTCCCAACCGCATCCTTCTGCTGTAGGCAGCGGCTCGCTACGCCGTCGTTCAATCTTCACTGGTCCCTATCGGCAGCCGCTCTGGCTCGAGGGGCTCTTGCCTCGCGCTCCCACTCGTGCCCGGATGTCGCAGACAGAGTACCTGGTATCTGTTTCGATTCCGGCGTTGGAGGGATTGCCCGATTTCCCAGGACTCGCGGAGTTGCGAAGCGGGCTTCAGTTTGTCCTCGTGGAGGAGGGGCAGTCATGGAATGTTGGCATCTTGAACGACAAGGTCGCCGAGCAGTGGAATCGCAGGTTTCAGCTAGATTCTGGCATTAGTGCTACGGATGTGGACATATATTTCAAAGGCAGGGCTGAGCCTGTGATGCCGTCTGAGCTTTTGTCAGATTTGCTGCTGCAGACGGGATGCGGCGTAGTGCAGGCCCATGTCGTGCGCAGGCACACGTCCTGGCGCGATCTCATGCGCGCCTGGCCGGAAAAGATCCGCGACTTCGTCGACGAGTGGTCCCGCAGGCCTCTGCAGACCAGCGGCCGGTGCTGGGGGGACACGGCCGACTTCGAGGAGGCCGTCGGGCTGGTGGACAAGTTGGTGCTCCGGGGGCGGCAGCTGAACGAGGCGGACAGGCTGAGCGCGATCAGCGGCCTGGTCAGCCGGGGCCAGGAAGTCAGGAGAGGAAAAAACACACAGACACAATTAATCCTCGATTCCCAGGAAAATATGGGAAAATATGGGAAGTGGGGGGGAAGACAAAAACCCAGAAAATATTGTAAAATATGGGGACTAATTGTATTTGTGTGTATTTATTTGTGTGTCCTAATTTCCCTTCAAGGAAGGCCTGCTGCACGCGGCCCTTCAGGTCATGAGCGCGGGGCACCGAGTCGAAGCCGTGGAGACCTGGGCCAGTCCGAGGGCCCACGATCTCGGCTCCGCGCAGGGTGTGCCGCCACGGGAAGCCGCCCGGGTTCCAGGCAGGTATGCAGAGGATCTAGGCCTCCTAGATGGGGCCGGAGTAGATGGGGTCGAAGGAGCGCGCCGCATCGCCGATGCATCGCCGATGCGGCTGGATGTGGAGCCCGATTTGCTTCACGTCGACGTCGCCGATTCATCGCTGACGTCGACGATGCATCGCTGGTGCATCGCCGATGCATCGCCGATGCATCGCCGATGCATCGTCGATGTATCGTCGATGCGGCGCCATCCTCCGACCCCATCTACTCGGACCCCATCTAGGAGGCCTCTAGAGGATGTCGTGGCTCGTTGGCGGCGCTTGGTGCCAGAGCAGGTGGCGGAGCAGGAGGACATGGTGGGCAAGCTCGTGGGGCTCGTCGAGAAGCTGTCTCGGGAGCCCGCTGGCGAGCGGGCGATCTCGTGGGAATTCGAGAAGCTGGCTCGGATCATTGACGGCCTCCTGCGGACAGGGAGCTCTCGGTCGTCGGTGGGAGATGACCATGACGACGACGAGGGGGGTGAGATCATCAAAGAGCTCAAGAAGTTCCAAGCGGAGGAGGGGGCGACACCCTGGTCGGTTGCCAGGATGATGAAGGTCGAGTTCTGTTGCTGAATCCTGAAGGCGCGAGCTTGCAGGCTTGGGTGGAGTACCCATGCACTGGGGCAGAGGAGGATGAGGAAGAGGAGAAGGAGGAGGAGGAGGACACGCATTGGAGAAGTAGGAGGAGGAGGAGGAGTTGGTTGCTTCCCGTATGCTTATTCGTCCACGCCTCACGCGGTCGCAGGTTCTTGAGTCCGCACTTTGGAATAGGAGGATCATGTATACTGAGTGCTTTGGTACCTGTGGCCGACAGCCCGCGCCAGGATAATTACAAACAGTCAAGGTTTCTGCTGCTGTGTGTCGGCAGAGGGTTAAGCGAATGATGGCCTCAGCATTGGACGATGTGCCATCTTCTCACTTGTGGCAGCCCGCGTAGAAGACCTCGCTCTTCGTAGTATGTCGTGAACGTTGCCCTCCACACGATAACTGCGTGTTGGTTCTGCTGGCTCTCCTCCCCCTGCCATCCCATTGCAGCGCGTGTGCCCAGAACGGTCGCAGTTCCGAGCGTTTCCGTCATCTTTACCGTTGTGTTCGATCTGTTATCCAAGCGGTTCACGCCACCCCGCCGACCCCAATCGGAGTAGTGACGTCCAGGGCGTTCGGCAGGTTATGTTAGAGCTGGGGTGGCTGGGTGCCTGCTTTAGGCCCGCGAGGGTGGAGGAGGAGGGAGAGGAGCGGAGGGGGGAAGGAGGGCGGAGTTCATCCTCGATGTGGCCATCGAAGTTTCGTAGATGGGTCCTTCTCGGTCGTCCGGGGGGGATGTTCGGGGTCAGCGCCGCCCGATCATGGGATGATTCGGTACCGTCCTGCGCGCACGGTCCCCGCCCTGGCCCGCCCAACAGGGGGCCCCTCCGAGCCGCGGGGTGTGCCTGGAGTGCGACGTCGGGGCTGCGCTTGGCATCGGAGGCGTGAGACCCCGCCCGTCCCGCCGCAGGCAGCCTCGGCAGGCGTCGTGGGCTCGGGCCGAGCCGTGCTGTGGCGCTCTCGGGGGCCGTTCTCGCGGCCGCTGCTCGGGGCCGCGGCTCGTGGCCGCTCCGTCCTCCGTGGCCCGTGGGCCCTCCGGCGCGGAGGGCCGTGTGGCTCGGGCGGGCTGCCCGCGCCCCCCCGGTTTCGGGTCGGGCATGCCCCTCTGCAGGGGGAGTGCTCAAAGACAGTCCAGAGATAGTTCACCACCCACCAGACCACCCAAACCCAACCCGAAGGCTCAGATTTACCCTCGATTTCCAGGGGGGGGGGGGTCGGGCAACGTCGAAAAAACACGTGTGGAACCCTTACCCCCCCCAACCCGAAATTCGGGTCTTCGGGTTGGGTTGGGGTGGTCTGGTAGGTAATCAATAGTTTGTGCGGTGTGTTCTACGATGTTTCTACCATGCTTGGCCACGGTATAGTCCAGACATAGTCCAGATAATTATAGTTCTAGGGTGTTTCTGCCACGTCTGGCTAGTGTTGCGCTTGTGTTGGCAACAGGAACTGTGTCGTCCCACGTCCGCATGTAGGGGGGCGCGCCCGACCTAACCCCTGTTGGTTCTTGGTGTCCGCCCTCGTCCACCCTCAGATGGGCTCGCTTCGATCCCTCCGATCCGATCCGATTCGACTGTGACAGGTTTCATTTCCGATCCGATTCGACAGCTGATTCCGATGTTGGTTCCGATGTCGCACCGATGGCCACACTAGCCTTCCGATTTCCTCCGAACCGACTTCCCTCGATTTGGCCGCCGATTTTCTACGATCCGATTCGCGTCGATCGCCAATCCGACTTATCGATCCGATTCTGGGCTCTCCTGCCCTCAACCCTCCTTCCTCGTCATTCTCCCGCCCCTTCTCATCTCAGGAGGGGAAACAACACACAGACACAATTAATCGGCGATTCCCAGAAAATATGGGAAGTGTGGGGGAAGACAAAAACCAAGAAACTATGGGAAACTATGGGGGAATCTTTTGATTTGTGTGTATTTATTTGTGTGTCCCAACTCCCCTTCATCATGTTCCTTCCATCTGCCATCGTCTTCCCCATCACTGCGTCATTGCTGCCCCCTTCGTCCCTCCGACCCTCACGCATATCCTCTCTCCCTCGCCCTCCCTCATCCCCCGTCCTGTTTTCCTCCCTTCTTCCTGGTCGTGTATATATGTGTATATATATATATGTATATATATATATATATATATATATATATATATATATCCTCCCGCCCTGTCCCCCTCATCCCCCCCATTCCCCCCCCCTCCTTCCTTTCCCTCCACCCTCATCCCGCTCCTCTATATTCCCTTCCCTTTTGTTCCCTGGCGGGCACTCTTGGGAGGAGGAGCAGGAGGAGGGGGAGGCCGAGGAGGAGGAGGAGGACTGGAGCAGGTGGAGCAGGAGGAAGAAAACAGGAGGGAGGAGGGGGAGAACATCCGCACGAGGAGAAGGCCGGCAGGAGCCGCTCCTCCATCTGTCTGCCCTCTTTTGTCTTCTTTGTCTCCTCCTGCTCCTCCTCCTCTTCCTCCTCCTCCTTCTCCTCCTCCGCCTCCGCATCCTTCTCCTCCTCCTCCTCCGCCTCCTCCTGCCCCTCCCCCCCGCGTCCTCAAGCTTATCCTTCTTCCTCCCGCGCCTCCTCTCCTTGCCCGGGAAGCCCGCAAAGCGCAGCGGCTGGGGAGCGGCCCATCATCGGGCTCCTGCCAGCCTTGATGCCGGTACGGGGCCGCCTCGCCCAGTGGGAAGCCGGCAGACGGTGCGGCCAGCTGGCAGCTGCTGGCACGCCGCAGCAGCCGCCAACAAGGGCGCCCTCGAGGGCGCGAAGTTATTCGCGCTTCGCGGTTCGGCTTCGATTCCTCCTCGTCCTCCTCTTCTCCCTTGGGAGGCGGCGCGAGAGCGCGAAGTTATTCGCACTTCGCGCTTCGCGCAGCGCGAAGCGCGAAGTTGGGAGCCCTTGCGCCAACTCAGCACTGCGGGCCTTCATGGAAGGAGCCTGCTTGGACGAGGCGGCGGCCAGCGGACAGGCGGCCGAGGTGTGGGCCAGCCCCTTTTTCTGGATTGCAAAAAATCGGGGGAGCGTAAGACCCGGGTTTGCCGGGACTCGGGTTCGCCATCGTTTTTTGACGACCGCGGCTCGGATTTTGACGAGGAGGAGTTTTGTGGGATGTCTGCAGCGGGAGGCCTCGTCAAAATGCAGGCTCGGCCTCGTCATTTTTTTGACGACCTCGTCGGGGATTTCCGAGTCCCCCGTACCCGGGTCTTACGTCTCCCCGAAAAAAGCTCTGCGACAAGACCAGCCTCGCGAAGCCGTTGTGTCCAGGCGCAGAGGCCGCATTGCCCACGGGTCGAGTTTTACGCGTGCTGCTTGCCGCACGTGGCGCTCACTGGGGCACCAAGTGCACGCTGACCTTCCCAAGGGCTCCCTCGAGGGCGCGAAGTTATTCGCGCTTCGCGGTCCTCGTTCCTTCTCCCCCTCCTCCTCGTCCTCCTATTCTCCCTTTGGGAGGGCGGCGCGAGAGCGCGAAGTTATTCGCGCTTCGCGCTTCGCGCAGCGCGAAGCGAGAAGTTGGGAGCCCTAGCCTTCCAGGGTGCCGTGCAACAGAGTTGCGGCGGGCTGCAAACACGCCAACAATTCCGCCCGCTGGATGGTGCATGACATATCCTGGAATGGGCGCGCGAGCCAGCTGCGAAAGCATAGCCCAGGCAGCATGTAGACGACACACGTATGCGAACTGAAAGATCGTGCGCCGCGGTCGGGCTCCAGCTCGCGACGGGCACAGGAGCCATCATCATTAGATGCAGAAGGGACACGCGACCCACCCATACCAAGCAGGTGTGCTTTCCCGGCACCCCACCCGGCACACAGAGAAACCGCTGCCGACGCAGCAAAGATCCACGACCCCGAGCTGACCCAGGCCGGCGCCATGAAGGATCTAGAGCGACGCACCACACGCGCACGGCCCGAACGAAACAAAGCAGCAAACGTGGACGAGTATCCCTCAAAACTTCGATTCGGAGGCGCACCGCAACGAGTCTGTACCACGCCAACACCAGAGCCAGACAGCATCGCCACCAGGCGGCGATGGGAATGACACCCCGCGGCATACACCGAGCAGTGGCGGCCGACACGGCGGGCATCGCGCATGACACCGATGCGCGGCCACATTTCTGCTAGTCACACGCGGCCGAAAGGGGCCATGGACCGCCAACGCCATCAGTCAGACAGGTGCGAAAACGGGCGGGGGTGTGGCGCGCCAGTGGAGATCTTCTTGGCCACTTGCAGGGCAGATGGAATGCGGCGGCGGGGCACCTCAGCCGCGTGGCGCTCCGAGGCCGATTCGGTCGGTCGCTGCTGGACTCGCGGCCGCCCTGCAACTCACCCTCGAGTTCGCGGGGTGGGCGGGCCAAGACGCAGACCTGTGGGCCGACCACCACGGGGGCGTCCTGGACAAGAAGCGACAGCGAGCAGGCCGCACCGATGGAAGTCGAGGAGGGGGCCCAAGAGGCGGCTGCCACAAGCCTGAGGCGCCATGCCAGCCGACGCCCTGAGAGGGGGCGAGGGCGCGAGGGCCCCAGCGCGGAGGCGACGTCGCGACGGCTCGGGCCAGTGCGGGAGAGTTTAAGAAGATTGGGCGATGCCAGGGAACGGGCGTTCTAGAGGCCGCAGCTCGCGCAGCCATATGGACCTGCCAGACGTGCCACGCAGCAGGACATGGGTCCCGACCAAGCGCGCACGGTGCCCCGCGGGCGTCGAAGACAGCAAGGGAGAGAAGGACAGCCTTCCACCATAAGGCAATCACGCTTATAGAATGATGATACACAGCGACGGGCCCATGCACGTTTCTTGTTGAACACGCCGGGCTACAAAACGCTCGAACATCGTCGCGCGTTTTGGCTGCGTTCTTCAACTCTCAGTGCCGCACTTTTCGCTCGGGGCGTTTCTTAAGAAGAACCAAGCCCATCACCGCAATCATCGACTCGCAGACGGTCGTCGGCAGCTGGGGGGACTACGCCCACCTGAGACTCAGATAGGAGCGCTGGCCAGGCAGTGCCAAACGACCAGAGAAACGACCCAGATCAGATAAGAAGGCTCGCGGCGTGGGCATCATCAAGAGCAGCCTGCGCGTAGACATCAAGACGATCCCATGCGCGCGGCCGTTTGCGTGGATCAGCAGAGGCAAAGAGCTCGCCGACGAGCGCGCGCAGAGAGGCGACGACTGGCAGCCGACCGCATCGTTCTCCAGGTGCATGCCAGAGCCCGTAGAGAGACCATTCGCGCGGGCGCCGCGACTGCCCGCGCTGCGGGGCCAGAACACTTCCAACTGCCGCGCGGCAGCCGAGAAGTCAGCCATGGCAAGACTTTCGAATGCCGCAAACAGATAGAAGAAGCCGCAGGCCAGCGCGCGCGCCGGAGAGCGGGCGGCAAGTAGACGCGCCCCTGATGCGACGAAGGGCCCGGTAAGTTTGCGATAGCGGATTGGGCGCAGGCGCGCGGGGGAAATTCTGCGCCCACGCGCGCCGACCGCATGGGCCGCGCCATCCAGGCCCCGAACTCGGAGTGCAAGGCA